ACAGTGGCATCTGCCCGGGCGGGGCGGGGCGGGGCGAGGAATGCCAGCTCTACGCCTCGGCCGGAGGGTGTGATCCCGGATCCGTTCGAGTGGCGACTGAGGAAGATGGCTCCTGCGGTAAGTGAGGGCCCACCTGAGATATGCAGGAGGATAGGAGTGTGAAATTGAACACAACAAAACAAGCACCTTTTTATCCGGTATTTACTTGTTCGTTTCCTTCCACGCACTGTTTAGAAAGATATTTATTTTTATTCAATACTTTTAATATTGGGAAAATACGACATTATAGGACACTTAGATACATTATAGTCCAGATAGACCAGTCATCTTGTACAGTTTGGAAACTGCAAGCATAAATGGAATGGAAAATTTGCTGAAGATAGAGAAACAAAATTTAAGAAGGATTTATTGTCCACGAGACACACAGAAAGGTTATAGATGAAGATCTAATCCAGAAATTTATAGTAAAACGGGAAACCTAGAAGTGATGATTTCAAAACGTCGACTATAGTTCTATGGACATATGGTCCATAAGGTTAAGCAAACAAAGTTTTGATAAAATCTGGAATTACAAAGGCCAAGGAGGCTATGACAAACAAATGAAGGAAGATATTAAAAAATGTAAAATTACTGCACAAGACTGTCTAAATAGACAATAATATAGAAAAAATTGTTTTGACTTCAAATTTCTTTTCGGTGAAAAGAAAAACAGAGAAGAATGGACTGCTGAAAGAAGAGCTGCGCAGTCGAACAGGATAAAGGACTTCTGGAAAAGAAAGAAGGAAACTACACGAAGTGATATTTGCATGGTCCTTATTGGCCCGTCCGCGTGTATTCGCGTGGTTCGGGTTTCGTGTGCAAATGAGTCAAACTGCGACACTAAAAAATCTTCACTCAATCTCGTAAACGCGTTCAATTATCAGTTTTTCAAATTAATCTTTAAGAACATCTTCTAAATCGTGAGCAGAAATGTTTTCACAGTAAAGCAATTCTCCTCTCCAAAGCGGTCCATTGCTGCATTCGCCTAAAAATTAGACTAGCACCTAAAAACTTCCTGAATGCTTTGCTGATAGATCCAGTTGCGACATCTTCCACGCGTCTCCTACACCCACTCAAACACTCAGCGACAGTGAACATACCTAATGCATCGCAGCCCTCCGAAAAGAATGTCGTTCGGGAATAATCAGTTTCCAGATCGCATGCCCCGGCGTTTATCCCTCCACATTCCAGCCACGGAAAATATTCAGCGCTACTGAATGTGTACAAGTCACGACAACATTCTTCTCAATTCTGAAGCGCACTAAGCGTGGCATTTTTAATGTCTTCTGCTGTGGATTTCCTATCTTTCAGTTCGTCATTAGGATAAACAAACGTCTCTTCTACTTTCCTGAAGAATCACATTGTACACTCGAATAAAAGCAATTCTAGGAAGATGTAAAAATCATATAAATTAGTAACTTCGAGTTCTTGAACATCTTTATTTGTAACTATTTCTCGTTAGGTAAAATATAAGTCTTTATTTCTCTGAAAAATAATTTTACGAGAGAAATTCTAATAACAAAATATTAGAAGTTGACAATTTTTTTCGATATTTCGTGTTTATTGTGAGTATCCCACTCATGAAATTACCACCAACAGCGTTTTGCAAAACAACGCAGTGAGTTTCAATTAGGGCGATGTATGTCAACAGCATTGTCGCTTTTTCTATTAATTTTTGTCTTACTATTTCACTTCACTAGCCAATCATAAGTTGCGATACAAGAGTCGTCGGTGTTGGTGTAGTCGATGACCGTGGCTGAACTAACGAGATATTAAAGGACGTTGAATGAAACGCATTGATCAGTTATTCTTAAATGCATTCTGAAACTGTTGGACTTAATTTCATTTGTGAAATACTATTCCAATATATACTACTCGTACAATCAAAATTTCTACATAAATTATCGGAAAGTTGGTGGTATTACCTATGTTGTAATGAATTACCCTGATCACTCGTGATTTTATCTCTGATGAAGGCATTAGAAAACAATTTTTCTTATGGGTTTTTGTAGTTCTTGAATTCTACGGTATCAATTAATTCTAAATTAAAAAAGCAATATATTGGTTTCCTAAAATGGAAATGCAACTCATAAAGTAGCACAATAGCCATTTTATTATTTGTTTATTTTATTATTTATTTTAGATCGCTATTCAATAACACAGCCATTACAAGTTGAACATTTAATATGTATTTGAATAATTCTTAACTGTAGCTAATTAGTTTTATTTTTCAATTCAGTAAGCGGGAATTTTACGAAGGAACAACATTCTTGAAATGTCGTCCGGATGGCTGGCATCGCTTAGGGTGGTAGTGTCGTAGGATCGCGGGTTCGAGTCCCGTTTCGGGCACGGAAATTGTGTGGATGAATTTGTGTTCGACCTATCACCCCTATCATCACCATGTCATATATTCATAGTTACCATAACTTTAAATCCAATAGTGGTCGCTAATAGCATAGATGTTGATGCGATCTTAAATTTTAAAAAAAACTATTCTTGAAATATTATACAAAAAGTAAAGTCATTTAACAGTAACAGACGTTAAAAATACCACGAAATAATTCAATAAAAAAAACTGGCACCAATATTTCAAATGCTTCACATAATGAATCAAACAACAAATAAATTAACTCAATCCAGGCAAAAACTAAACTTCACAACGTGGAGAAAGGGAAAAATCGCTTGAGCCATGTCTAATCTTCGAGTTAGTCGGCGCTTCGTGGAACCGTGAAAACTTAAAACCCCAATTAAAACCCAAGGCGAACGGAATAATTCGTTTCCCACTGTGACGTTATGAAACCCGATTTGTCCGGCACATTTGACTCCCAGCTCTCGAGTATCACCTTTCAAAATCCACAGATAAAGTCACTCCTTCCAGTCGGTAGGAGGCTGGATGTATTCTCCGAAGAAAAAGAAACATCCTCACTCGATTTTATTGATAGCTTGACATCCAGAGTTCTTCCTCACAAGCTCCAACTCCACTCAAGATTCAAGCGCCTGGGAAGACGAGTCTAATAAATCGCCAGGCCCGACTCACGCCGTTCGGAAACTTAGCCCACGTGCATTTCGGATGGGGATCTTCGGAGCTCACACGTGTTCCAGTTTCCACCTCTTCCGAAATCAAATCGTCGGCTGCGTGAGAAATTTGTACCCCCAAATCCCGAGTGCCGAGCGTCGCGCCGCCGCCGCCGTCCAGATCGCCCAAAAGGAGAAGTGGCGCGAGCAAACAAGGAGTGGGCCATCGGCGCTGCACGCTTAATCAATTAAGCGAGCACCGCGCCCGTCCACGTGTGTGTGCGCAGCTGGTGACGCGAGGCGCTACGAAAGGCACACGTGCGCGTGGCGAGGCGGGCTAGCGAAACAGCTAGCGCTATGGAAAAGGAACTGCTAGTGCACGCGCCTGCACTCTGAGGACTCTGAGAGAGGACTCTCCGACACAACTTACTTGGAAGAGTAGCTGGAAAAAACGTGTTTGTTTGAAGGAAGGAAAACATTGGATTAAATTAATTTCTGATAACATGAATTGTGTGTATAGTTGTGTAAGGGGCGTCCACGGTTGCTACAGCAAACTGAATATCTTGCATACAGTAGTATCCTCTTGTGTTAGAGAAAAACAAACAATTCCTATTTGAATTAAATATATATTTTTTCCATCTTACATACAACACAAATTTTCGTGGCCCAATTGGTCGCCTCTTCTAGTACTTTTTGTAATACAGTTTTGAAAACAATTACAAATCTTTCTTTCATCTTAAAATATAAAATTTAGAATAGCATTCTAAACAATACAAGTATTTAAATGGAATTAATTGCTCGAGAAACGTTGTTTTATGCTAGACGCAAATAAAATATAAATAATTTAAATATCAATTTTTTGATTGACTGTAATACAAGAGGATACTACTGTATGCTATAATATTAAATTGATAGACAATCATTTTTGGTCACCCTTTCAAGAAACTGAATATCTGTTTGCGATTTTCACAAACTGTGTTCATGCAACATTCAGGAAACTGTTGGCTGCGAACTATTGTTCTCAGTGGAGCAGCTAAACTCTGTCGATGATCAACGACCAAATGCCGCAACCACATCATGCCCATTTAAAGAAGCTCCTTTTAGCTTGAAATAAATGATGGTTTTTCCCGTTTCGATCTATACAGGGCAAATACAGGAGTCTGTGGCAACAAACCAGCGAATGAAATTGTGACGAACGGAATCCGTCGACTCCTGACTTTCTTACGTTTTCGTATTAGCGGTAGCGGTTGTCCATATCCTGAATGCTTCATTAGGTAATCCTATGTCGGTAAGGACCCTTTTCTGGTAAGGTAGGTATGTGCTCTGGCCCCCTCGCCCCTCACCTAAATGCGCCTGCCCGATCAAAGGCAAACAACGACTGGACGGATAAAACAAGCGGCTCATGGACACCTGTGGGATTCGGTTAAACTCCAGACGTCAAAACGCGAACGAGTACAACTCTCGAGATTCGAGCTGCATGAGACTCCAGCAACGGCGCGCACCGAGTGAATGTTGCGTAGCAGATAGACACGGCGGAGAAATGGGGAAAGTTTCGTTTCGACTCCAGAAGCAATATTTTTTTAATAGATTCAAAAATTCTAGTAGTAAGACGCTATTATTCATGCAGAATGAAATGAATGCATAAAAAGAAATGAAATACCTATGACTTGCCAGGGCTTTAATATTACAAATTTGACAAAAACTATATTCACTCACATTTGTACATTTATTAAAATATTACTCTCATTTGTGCCTTTGATTAAAATTTCAATCAGTCAAATATTTCCTTTAGAGAACATAACATTTCCGGTAAAAAATTCAGTAAATTATCCGATTTAATGATGAAATATTACACCTCATAATAGGACCAATAATAATCCAAGAAATCACCTTTACGACGGAACATAATAATTCCTTGAAAATATGTCGTTTTCGAAGATTTTAGATTAATATAGTATCCACAAAAAATACCACGACGCTTAAAAAGGTTATTTTAGATGAAAATTTAACCATTGAATACACGAATTAAAGAGAACCACATGTTTATAAAGAAAACCTTTCAATTACGAGAGAAAAATTTGAAGTGAGGGCACGTTGGAAAGTTTGTGAATTGACCTCATTTATATGATCAGCTCACGCAACAAGGAAATGTTTAGTGTAGTTCATACTACGCTATCGATATCCTGCAGTTATCGATATCCTGCATATGCGCGATTCGAGTTTTGCCCCTGCGCACGAGCAGAAGATCGAAATTACAGTCGATTGCTTGCTGTATTCTACGACGAGCCATAGGGGGGGGGAGAGGCTCTTGCGCATCTAATTCGACTTCAGCCAATAAGCTTCAGACACTAGTTTTTGTCACAATATTAGCGGAAATTTTAAATGAAACCAGATACAAAAATTATCACCTCGTTACAAAATATTCCAACATATTTATGAAGAATTTGTTTTAAATATAGCATCTTGTACACCTTTATCGTGATATTTTAGCTTGGTTACCGTTGAAAACTGTCACTATCTAACACTTAAAATTGTTTCTCAATACGACTGGCTGGCCTTGCAACATGGCGACGAGCTTCTAGTCTGACTTTTCAAACGAAGTGCCCATGCTGTGGTCACGTGGTCCGTGACGTAAAGTAGTGTTGCGCAGAACAAGCAAAAATCGGTCCGCCGGAGAAACTCACCCATGTTTTTCCACCATTTGACGTGCTAAAATTCAGCTCATTAGAGAAACTACCAAAAGAGAGCGTAGGCTTCCGCGGCCGGAGTCAGTATTTAGTTGGCTGTCCGGGTGACGCCGCGTCCATGGCGAAGGTGCCGACGTTTCGGCCGCCATTCTGAGATCTTCCTCCCTTCTGCGGCATTACGCCCTGAAGAAGGTCGCAGAATGGCGCCCGAAACGTCGGCACCTTCGCCATGGACGCGGCGTCACCCGGACAGCCTAGCAAATACTAACTACCAAAAGCCGCTGATGCTGTCAGACAGCGCTTACCTTTGCAGGCCTTGCGGTGCGCAATGGGCTTGGTGGGGTCGCGGTAGTAGCCCTCCTTGCAGTAGTGGCAGTGGCGGCCGGCGGTGAAGTGCCGGCACTTGAGGCAGACCCCGCCGCTCACGCGCCCCGACAGCTTGAACAGCTCCATGTTGAAGCGGCAGCGCCGCGCGTGCAGGTTGCAGTTGCACGCTGCAACACACCAACCACACACGGGCGCGTTACACACACTTCCACTCTATCTCAGGCATCTACTACACTACTACACAAGAATAGTGACGACTACCAGCTGAGATGGCCCAGGGCAGCAACTGTCGCCACTGCAGTGCCTGTAACCGAGAAAGTCTAAGATTTGATTCACGACAGTGGCAGATTTTCATCGCGAACTACATAGCTAGTTCGAATTCGGTCTGGAGGAGTATGTTTGCGGCTAGCTGCTCTGATCGGTAGTTCTCCGTGGCTTCTTCGAAACAGGTCACGGGCGACGCGCGACCTTTCCTTCCTCATCTTTGTCCTTTCCACCCCCTTTTCACACACACACACACACACACTTGCACATGCATGCATCACACTACGACCGCAGATGGCCATGTGTGCAGGGGTGCCCTGCAGGCGGAGACACTCAGAGGAGGAAGAAACTTAAAACTGAAGGGCAGGTCAACGCCTGATATCCTGGTCTAGCGGGGGGGGGGTAATTTTCACCTTCCGAGATATACAGTAATGTGCATTACACTAACGGAACTAATAATCGTGGCTCGAATGGCATCTGACTCACCCGGAAACAAAATAAAAAATCAATCAATGAAAAGTGACATCTCAAAATTTGTTTGTTTTTTTTTATAGAAGAGGGGTTTTAATCTGAGTGGAGCCCTTTAGTATTTCCAGAGAGCACGATATCCCAAAAAGCAGTAAAGCAGACTTAAAACAACCGTTCCGGTATACATGTTCTTTGTGCATGACCAGATCTATCATCTACCTATGGGTAAAGTGATTAATGAAAAAACTGATTAATTGTTCACAATACAAGCTCATTAAAAATATTTGTTTTAATGTATATAGATTCCCAAGCCAATTGTACATGATTGCCTTTCATAATTAATACATGCTCTTTAATAGGAATGAGCAAGATCAGATATGAATTCTGATGGCTCAGAGCAAAGGAGATTATATTTGACGGCTTTACAAAAATGATATTGTGTCGGAAGAGTACTAACTTGTTAATAGTGACTGGCTGCAAAGTTGTAAATATGACAATAATAGGTGAATTGGTTCATTGCCTTACAATGTTAGGAATATTTTAACGAGTGATATTCCGTTAAACTATGCCTGGAAACATTCAGTAGTAAGAATAAATGCTCATGAAAGTAATTGTGCAAGAAAATCATCAAAATTAATTAAGTAATATTTCGATCAGTACCCGTGAATACTACTTTAACATCTCCATCATCTCAAAAGAGAGATATTCTCGTAAAAAAAATCAGTATCCCAAGGCCAGTAGAATGAATGAATGAATGAGTGAGTGAGTGCGTAATTGAATAAATGAACGAACAGAAGAAATATAAGAAACGTCTACGAATTTGAAAACCTTTTCGAACTTCCTTAATCCATATTCATCTTTGGGCGGCTAATTTCGGGAAGCCAAGATGGAAGGTGAGAAGTAAATGATGACGTGACTGAAATCAACATTTCATGACGTCTCTATCAATCTGACTCAAAACTAATATTGTTGAATTTTGGATCCGAAAAAGTGACATACTTGCCTTAACGAAATTTATATCCTAATGTTTTCTAATTAAGAGATCCGGTCTTCGAAATCGGACCGAGAATAACCAACAGCGCGCGCTCCAAGTCATTGTCGGTTTCAAATCCCAATTTTTATGGATAAGATGTTTTTATAGACATTTTTAATGAATTACAGATTTAAAGATGTAATAACGTCTCTCTAACTTGAAAAGTTTCTTATTTTTGTTAAAATTCCATCATTGGCTTGATGGTGTGGAGCGCCTTTCTTAGATTACTCCGATTAATAGTTTTAAAATGTGTGACTTATTTAATTGAGATGAATAATATAATTGTCTTGCATATAGAAAAGAAGTCTACGAAAGTATTCGCTACCTCATATTCCTTACGCAGGTTTAAAATGGTACACTGCAGTTAGACCAAATAAAAAGCAAATAACTTAACCCGCTGCACTGAGTGTGTTGGGGTCAATTGAGTTCAAATTGCATTCCAGCAAACTCCTCCATGGTGAATTCGTAAGAGTGGCAGCTCGAATGGGCTAATGTTTTCTGGCAAATTGCCTGCAGCGTACAAACTCCAGGGAAGTCGAAACCTCGTCCATTTGGGTTATAAAGAAGTGTTCTTGACCAAGAAAAAGTATTTAAAGTTAAGGTATTTTTGCCGCTGGCATACTGTTAATTTTTTTAGATTTTAAATAAAATAACCGTTAGGAGATTAATAAAATTTGTTGCTCTGAATGGAACCAAGTGGTTATATATTTTCTTCTTTATTGATTTGGCCTGCTAAGCACTACATAATGTTATTTTATTCCTTATTTTCTTCTTTTAACTTTCCAATACTTAAACGTTTTCTCTGTTTTTTCTCATTATTAGTACGTTGGCATACTAGCAGACATCATGGCGATGCCTTTGCCTTCTACCATATGAGAGACGGTAAGACTATTCATGAGGGACGAATGAAGATGGCAGATGAGTGAGTATAAATGGAGTGACGGTTTAGATGTGACAGTGGAGAGAATCGAGCCACTCCTCAATCACGTGGTCAAAACATACGTTTCTTACCCGGCCCACGAACCCGGCGATTCCGGCTTCACTTTCTCACACAGTGCTCCACCAATACTTTTAACACTGGAGTGGCTTTTCTTGACTTCCAACGCGTCCGCTACGACTTAGGACTTCAAATAATGAAAATACGGAATGTTTGCAGAGCTCAATTTAATTCCATATGGTGCAATCACGTGCCATGTACTGTGTGAAATGTAAAAGGTAGTTTTGTGCAAACTTTCGTTCTGAATGGAAGTAGTTTCAAACTGGCACGGCAGAACATACTGCTAACGAACGCTCGAGTCCCATAACGCCACGTCCTCTTGTTTGGCAGTTGTTCCACAATACCTACCCACCAACACGATGTTGAACCATGAATATATAGTTGGCAGCATAAACTTGTCGCCATAGTTGGTAACAACTTCCATTGATTCTAATCTCGTGGGTTGTATAGTAAAAGGTACGAGTCCCGCGATTACACTCTGTTTTTCTGTTGGATTGGCGGCATCCAAAATTGTTCCAACGTAACGTTATAGTTTGCGCATCCTCACACTCTCAACGGTGGGTTTGTTGTGCAGTACGGCGTTTCACGGAGTTCTCGACCTCTTTGCCGCAGCCCGTCAGTTCTGAAATACATCGCGGCGTTCGGGCGGGGATAAACGCGCCGCCCCTCGTAAAGCGCGCAGGGCAGCGCAGCGCGGAGGCGCGGGCGACGGCAACAACACGCTCGTGGCGCAGCTCGTGTTTCAACTGTCTGGAAAATGGCGCCACCCTACAGCGAGCGCCGCCGCCGTGCATCATCCGGGGACTCCCCGCCCATTGCTACCAACTCAAAAAAACACGTATTCACCGGCCTTTTTTTTCTTGTATCCTTTTACATATTTGTCTTCATTTTAATGTTCCCGTACTTTTTTGTCGTAAAATGTATTTAAATTAGGATGAGTATATTTTTTGTAGACGGCAACACGATATTATTTCAAAGTTTGTTTTCCAAAATTAGCATTGTTGTGGAGATAAGAAAATCTGAAGTTTTAAAATCATTTACAACTCGAAATTAGTTGGTAATAATATTACACAAAAATATTTTTAAAATTTCATTTAAATTTCATTCACACGCACATTATATATATATATATATATATATATATATATATATATATATATATATATATATATATGTGTGTGTGTGTGTACACTTTTTATTCT